CCAAAAATACAATTTGGCATCTTTTAATCGACCAGGAAAAGACACATGCCATGGCACTCTAGATTGAAATTTAAAATAGAATTTGTTTTTGAGTCACTATGTCAAAAGTTGACTGACTTAAAAGGTGCCATTTAAAAATCAAAAGTTGTAGTCATTTCCGGTGAAACCGGAAGTGACCGAAAACAATTGAATACGTCAATCAATCTTAATTTATCTCATATACTAACATACCAAATCTCGTTGTTTTATCAGAAAAAAAATAAAAAAGTTATAGGGGTGAGCCACTTTTGAGACGCACCCGGTATATCTATTTAATTTTTTGATTATGTAATGGGTACTTTGTTTACGCACTTGTCTCGTCGAACTGCTGAAATCCATTTTTACTGTTGAACAAATCGGTATGAGAAGCTGTGAAGCTATAAAATGTTGTTTCGGGAGAGTTAAATATCCAGGAAAGTTGAGTTATTGAATGTTACTGCACCCAGTAACCACGTAATTACGCCCTCCTTTACGCGTTAACATTTTTTCGGCAATTTTATTAACATTTGAAATTGTCACATTACAACGCGACGTATTATTTGTAATATAAGCATTTTATTATATTTTATTTATTGTACTATAACTATTTGTAGTACTTATATAAATTTCTTTCTGGAAGGGGTAATTATTTCCATTACCCCTCCCGTATATGCACCCCTGATCAGTAACGGTCACTTATCTTAAAATTCTCCCACGCAGTATTGCCAATCATTTCAATCATTGCTGGTCGCTCCGTACTAGGTGATGATAAGGCATTGCTAAACAGCTTATGGTTCAGTGTCCAAGTTGCTAAACTGTAAAAAGAATTCTATTGGAGAATTTAATCCAGAGCAGTAGAATAGGTCAACAGAAAACAATAAGTCCAAAAGTTTGTTTTTATTAAAACAAAATGGTTTGTTTTTTCCTTAAAAAAATATTATTGGATAAATGCATTTTTGTGTGAAATAAGTGCTAAATAATGTACTTCCGTCTATTACCCTTAACGATCGTTCTTTTTACTACTCCATCATTTTTTTCTGCAAAAATAAGACTTCAACAAAACTTGTTGAAAATGATTCTGTTGAACAGAGAAGCACTAAAGTAAGATAAAGTGTGCAGGAAAACTAATTTATTATCCTCCTATGCCGAACTCCATAGAGAACGGAAGAGAAAAAGCCAGTTCAAGCCTTGATTGTTTTCTTATCGGAAAATTAACTGCTACGGATAATTTTGTTTCAAACCCAGCCCATTCACGTCAAATTATTGATTTTTTCTTCTTTTTAATATACCTTCTAGTTGATGAGTTTTACCTATAAAATGATTAGAAAAATATATGATGACCATGTTTTTTGTCGATTCAAATTTTATCGTGATATATTTTTTATACCATGTATTATATTTTCAAGAAGACAAAAAAAATAGAAACATACCTACGAAATATCGTTTTTGAGTATTGAAATAGTACAATAAAAAGTTCTGAGTATAAAAGAAGTTTTTAGAACCATTATCATCACCATCACCACCATTCTCAGCTTATTCAACCATTTCCAATTATGGTGTAGTCCCCCTCGCATATTTAGATATTCTCTTTGTAAATGGACCCAGTGTTGTCTATTGATGGCTATGCGGGCCCAAGTTATCCCTGCTAATTTCTTAATATCATGGTCCCATTCATGTTTGGTGTTCTTCTAGGTCTCTTAATTTCTCGTGGGTACCATGCTGTAATTTTTGTGGTCTATCTGTTGTCCGTCCTTTTTGTCAGATGTCCTGCCCATTGCCACTTGAGGGATTTTATTCTGTGGATAGGGGGGGGGGACATCTATTACCTGGGTCTTTTGTCGTATCCACTCTATTCCTTTACGGTCTTTCTTGGTTATCCCCAACATATTTCGTTTCATTGAGCGTTGTGCGACCTGCAGTTTTCTTATAAAGTCCATTTAAAAGTGTCCAGGTTTCGGATGCATAGGTTATGACTGGTAGTTCACATTGGTCGAATGTTTTCTTCTTTAGATAAAGTGGCATTCTAGATTTGAATATGGTTAAGTTTCTTCTATAAGTACTCAATACTAATTTGATTTTTCTTTTAGATTACCTGTAGTAGAGATCCCGAGCTGTGTTTTAGTTGTCCCAAATATATATGTTCTTCTAATATTTTCAGTTTTGTGTTATTTATCAGGATGTCTCTTCTGTCCACTAGTTCGTTGTACATTACTTTAGTTTTTGGTAAATTTATTTTGAGACCTACTTTATTGCTGGCTCTATTTAGTTCGTTAATTTGTGTTTGTAGTTCTTCGGGACTATTGGCAATGAGGACTATGTCATCAGCGAATCTCTAAGATATTCACCATCTATTTTTAATCCTTTGTCGGTCCAGTCTAGTTGACGGAAGACTTCTTCTGGTGTTGCTGGACAAAGATTTGGGGATATCGTGTCGCCCTGTCATGTCGTACTCTTTTGCCAGTTGGAAACTCTGGGGTTGTTTTATATATCATTACTCTTGCTTTGGCTTCTTTATATGTCTTCCGGAAAGATATAATGAGAGGCATGAAATTTATCTATTATCCATATATTATTAATTAAGATGTTTTCCTTTGTTAAGCGGCAGTTGCGCATGGCAGTCAACTGTCATAGAACCGACTGTTAGGTAGGCGTGGTTATACTGCCAACTGTGAATCATACAATTGCGATCGCAGTTGTCTGTTATAGCATCTACAGTGCATGCTCGATAGTTCGACGTTCGATAATTCAACATGCCCACTATTTCGACGTTTTTCCGAATCGGGGCTAAACCCTGTAGTTCGACAAAAATATAAAATTGCTGCTCTATAGTTCGACACAAATACGCAAGCAATCAGTGTTCGACAGTTGTCTTTCGTCGTCTGCGTACATATAACGTATTTAAATCGTTTGCTCCGTGATTCCTTGAATTTTGGCTTGTTTATAGCTTTATTATGTTTTCAACAAAATGGAAACATTAAACGTTGACCCTTAAAATTTACATTACTGGTTACATATTGTCAAAATTATTATTTTAGTCGCAGTTAGGTACATACCAGTTTGGGTGCAAATTGCATTATGTAGAATCATTACACAGCTAATCCAGTTATTCGACACATTCATTAATTCGACGATAGTTTAATTTTTCTGGTGTCGAACTATCGAGCTTGTACTGTATTGCGATGAGTAGAAGATCTTCTAGTTCTGTTATCGCAGTCGCATACTAGACGAAAATAAAATGACGAAAAATATAAAACGCATTGCATTCTCGGATGAACAAATTTTTACACTAATTGAATTGTATGAAGAGAATGAATGTTTATGGAACATTAAGCCAATGGACTATAAAAAAATACAAACTCGGTTAATAAATTATTCAAAAAATATACGAAATCAATGATTATCTTGTGAAACAGGAAGTCGTAGTAAAAACTATCGAAGCCTAATTTCCACTATACAAAATTTAATTGCTATCAGACAACTAATATTTGAAACTGCCGCTTTAAGCTTAAAACGGATTGTGGTCCGATTTTCATAGCGATAGGGACTGTACAATAACCTTATCTCACAAAGTTGTTCTTAATGGATAAACCATTATTAACATCTTCAATCATTTTAAGCATGTTATCTGCGGGGTATTTAAGATTTCTTACATATTACCTGATAATACCAGAAATCGTCACTCCCATGTCCCGCTATTCGTCATCTCAAATTAACATATATTTTCTTTAAAATCCTGAAACAAAATGGTAAAACGGAGACTGTATGCATATTCTTACTGCTTAAAATAACATAATTAAAGATAAGGTCTAGACATACTAACCAAACTAATTAATCAATATAAAATTATAATTTTCACTTCCATGCACCAGTAACCGTCATATGTGCCGATTATTAACTACCCGTTTTATTAGACCTAGTAATCGGCACACGAAAATAAACAAAATATTCTTTAAATCTTGTATAATCGCCTAAAGACAGCAAGTTTAATATCAATACAGGTTATTTAATATAAAACATGCACAATTAAACTTAATTTTCTACACTTCTAATCTATTTTAAAAGTTTGGTTGTTTTAACATAATGTGTATGTTAAAAAATGACTTAAGAGTCTATGACGCTGTACTTTCGGGTCGCTCTCAGGGGTCGGGTAAAGCGGGTATGTGGCTGAAAGAAATATATATTATATTTCAGGAACCTGCCTAAGGCTTAGCCCGATCCTGTCTGTTAAGCCACAACCCAAAATTCCAAGTACACGTGCTTTGATTAAGGCTTGATTAAGGTTTGCATACCTTCACCATTTGCCATAAAATAGCGAGCAGTTTGTTACAAAACCATATAAATTATATATCACTGTAATCACAAAATTTCAGTTTATTTCCGTATAGTAAGGGAATTTTAAATTGTCTTTATTTTCGAGAAAATTTAGTCCAAACATAAGGAATATTTTGTTGATGCTTGACCATCAAAGTCTTAAAAATAAAGAAGTTGTCTAAAACTGTGCTACAATACGGATATAATATAATCCTTTATCTTTTACATATGGAAAGGGTGATGATAGTTATCGGAAAATGTGATACTTTATCAACCGCAAAGAATGTGACATTTATCAAAATTAATAATAACTATCTATGGTGCTATCTATCAAAGAATGAAATCGAATTTATATTACCATAGAAAGGCCTTTTGATTTTTAAGGTTTAAAATTCAACACTATTTTCATGTTTTTCTTAATTTTCCCTGAAACCGTATGGAAATTTCGAAAAGTATAAACGGGATTAACCATTTTAGGACAAGCAAACATTTTTATGAAGAATGCATATTTCTCAAAATGTCAATAATAAAAAAGTTTTTCATCTTGTAAAGACAATCCGAAGATAAACTGTAGATTAAACTTACTTGTTTTAGATCTAAATTATAATGCTATTGCTTGCTAAATGATCATTTAAAGAAAACGAGACTATTTAACTGTTTCCTTCTTACAGATGGACAGTCTCGAAGAACACGAGAAACTTCAGAGCATATCCGAAGTGGAGACCAGTCCGAAGTCATCGAAGAAATTGAGTCTGCCGGGCCAAGGCCACCAGGTGGGCAACAGTATCACGAGTCCAATGTCCAACAATAATATATCGCCGTCTCTATCCCATTCTTCTATGTACAATAAAGCGAACGTGAAACATGCGACTGCACCGAGGATCGACATTTCCAGGGCGAGCAGCTCTTCCCATCATGACAGTCGAGACAGCTCGCCGGAAAGGGAGATTCTCGACAACATCGACGCCGCAACGTAAGTAGTACTAGTTCCAGATGACCACAGCCTATTCATTAGACACACAATCTACTACGCTAGTTTTTATTACCCGCGCTTCATTTGCTGTGCCTTACACATGCAGTCAGGTAGACCACCAGACTCGTTAGTTTTTTTTATACAGGGTCTTTCAAAAAACATGTGCCATTTCTCGTGGGGAGATTCTTCACGTAAAAATAAGATTTATTTTTCATATCAACATAGGTCCGATTCTGCTTTGTTTCGTAACTACAGGGTGTTAAAGTCTTAATATTTTTTCGATTTATTATAATTTTCTTCCAAATACTTTTGGCGTTTCGAATGAAATTTTGAGGATAAAAGTTACTATAAATGCGACATATTTTAAAGCTAAAAAAGTGTCGACATATTTACCAGGGACTAGCATATGGGTTATCACCGGAATATTTTTCTAAAAAAGCATGTACGCCACTGACTTTTTTTCTCTTGTTAGCGAAATAGTGTAAGTAGTTTAATGCCGATCAAAAGTTGTCTCTCGATATTTTATTGATTTCGGTCTCCTTGATGAGATAAACGCAATTTTATTAATTTGCCTTGATCCAAGTCAATAGGAACCTTTTAAACTTTTAATATCAATAACTTGCAAAAATTTTAAATAAGTACTCATTGATCCCTTATCAAAAAATATGAAAAAAAAATTCTATAAACATGGGTATGGAAATTTAGAGTTACAGGATGTTGAAAACTTTTTAAAATTAGATTTTTTGTAATATTTTAAATACCATTAATTTTTTATTTGAAATTGCTGTGGGTGGAACTAATAGTAATAATATTTAATAATAAATTAGGTAAAATCTGTAATTTATTAATTTTATTTTTATTTCAATTTTATTAATTGTGGTTAGTAAAATTCCGTTTATCTCATCAAGGAAGCCGAATTCGACAAAATATTAAGAGATAACTTTTAATAGGCATTAAACGGCCTACAAAATAACTTTGATATCAAAAGAAAAAAGAGTCAGTGGCGCACATGTTTCTTTTTTCAAAATATTCCAGTGGTAACCCATATGCACGTCCCTGATTAATTTATCCACACTTTTTTAGCATTAATATATTTAACACTTATACTAACTTTTACCTACAAAATTTCATTCAAATCACTAAAAGTACTTGGAAGAAAAGTATAATAAAACGAAAGATTATTAAGACTTTAAGACCCTGTAGCTACGAAACAAAGCAGAATCGGACCTATGTTGATATGAAAAATAAATCTTATTTTTACGTGAAGAATCTTCCTACGAGAGATGGCACATGTTTTTTGAAACACCCTGTATACGGAGCATTAATGGAGCTCAGAATCCGAATTGCGCAGAGTTTCATATAAGCGATCATAAGTCGACTGGTTGTGTTATACATAATTGAATTTGATACACATTTTTTTTTTCATAACTTTTCATGCACAGATGAAGAACTTTTCACATCATTTAATGTCTAATATGAGACCCATTTTCGGCATATGTAGATTGTATGGTAAGGAGAAGTTAATCACCGCGACCTTATAGATCTATTGTGTACCCTTTCTTGAGTTATAACTCATCATACATTTTCAGGGTGTCTCAGTATCTGAGACGGTTTTACAGAGAATAGTTCTCCGATATCAGTCGTACCAAAGTTTTTGGCATGAATGGTTGTCGCTTCGACGTATTCACAGATAGGTGTTCTGATGTTTTCCCATTTTCTCCACAGAATCTGCGTTCGCCGTTGTTTCTTAGTTTCAATCTACTGAAGTGTTCACTGAGAAGACAGTGTTCTATTAAAAAACCCGCGACAATCTGAAGATTGTTTTTACTTATATCAATTATTATTTCCCGATCGTAAATTTTGAGAAAGTTCTTAGCGTGTCTTAGACCGTTGGAGGATTCTTATTCCAGGTTAGGAATGGAGCCTTCCAGTTTCTTGAGTTCTACTTTAATTGAGTAAACAATTTGAATATTTCTTCATAATTTACCACAAAAATGTGTTATTGTTTTCCCTTGAAATAACCGTTCTGCTTGATTTTTATGCATATTACTTTCATTCATCAAACAATAAAAACTAAACTATACATGGTTCATTTATTGTTTTTTTTTGTTTTTTTACTTTATTACATTTTTCATAATTTTTATTAGGAACATAATGGTTAATTAAGAAAAAAATCATTGAGTTGATGAATTAAAATCAAAGAAGCGATTGCCATACATTACTATGAAAGAACTGAACCCGCCATGAAAGCAGACATTTTTAATAAGTATGTGAAATTAAAAAAGCAGCATTATAAGCCTGATTTGGATGTGATATTTGATTTACTAAAATAAAAGTTTATGCTGCAGGCAGCAATAAAAGAAAATTTCTATATAACGTACTATTTTTATGCAAACATTCCTTTTATGTGGCCCAGGATAATCTGGAAGCTACCCAATTACTTAAAAGGTCTCTGAACTGTAAACGGCAGTTTGGAGACAATAATAGAACTCGGAAACCCTAAAAGAACAGACCTTTTTGTAAATAAATCTTTTGTTGGATATATGAACTCTATAATAGGTATTAGCTAGTCTATTTTCTCTTAATATTGGAAGCGAAAAATGAGATAAACTTTATAAATTAGTAGAACTAGACCCAGAGACTAGAGACAGAGAATTAAAAGGAATGAAATCATTATCTCTCTTCATATTGTTTTGACATTTATTTCTTTGATACTTTTTTATATTTATACTTTTGATTTCCTAGTAGTTTTCAATGATTAACATAATCATTTTTATCAAAATATGTTGAGTAACATAAGATTTATCGGTTTTCTCATGTATACATTATCCTGTTAAACAGGATCCTGTTAAATCCTGTAAACGTCACAAAAGTATTAATTGTTGCGGCGTGATAACATTATAAAAAGGCTATTTTAACGCCTAGGCATAAAAGTAAAGAACTTTTACGCCTAAGCACAGAAGTACGAAAATATATTATTAAACTCACATAAAGTGTCAAATTCAACGAGTGTATCCATTGTTGCTCGATATACCGGGTGCGTCTCAAAATTGACTCATTCATATAACTTTTTTATTTTTTCAGATAAAGCAACGAAATTTGGTATGTTAGTATATGACATAAATTAGGATTGACTGATGCATTCAATTCTTTTTGGTCACTTCCTGTTTCACCGGAAGTGGCTAGAAACTTGTGATTTTTAAATGGCACCCTTGGTATTTTTTTACTTTATTCGATAGAAAATGATACTCTGAATAGAATGACATATCATATGTCAACTTTTAACATTTTCACTTTAAAAAAATAGTATGTTAAATTTCAATCTAGAGTGCCATGGCTGCGTTAAGAACACTAATTTTCTATCAAGAAGCCTTGGAATATTTGATCGTCTAATCTTTTTTATGTCTTGTCTTGATCAGTAAAAAGATGCCCAAATTGTATTTTTAATCATATCTCAATTTTCTCAAATAGAACGAGGGTGTCTCATTAGCATATTTGGAAAAAACATTTTTTTGTAAATAATTTGGTACCACACACTTGGCATTTCGAGCCAAATTGCCGTTATGAACCGCATATTACAATTTCAAATAAACCATATGAGAAAATGTCAAAAGTTGACATATACTATGTCTCCTATTCGGAGTGTCATTTTCTATCGAATTAAGTAAAAAAATATCGAGGGTGCCATTTAAAAATCAAAAGTTATAGTTATTTCCGGTGACACAGGAAGTGACCAAAAACAACTGAATATGTCAATCAACCCTAATTTATGTCTTATACTAACATACCAAATCTCGTTTTTTTATCTGAAAATATAAAAAAAGTTATAGGGGTGAGCCACTTTTGAAACGCACCCGGTATAATTAATAATACTGGTAATACTAGTAATACTATAATTAGGCCTGTTTCAAACACCGGAACGCCGTTTTAACACCGGTGTTGTGCTGACACCGGTGGCCAAATATAGGCTATCCGGTGTTCCGGTGTCAACACCGACACCGGTGTTGATACCGACATCGGTGTTGACACCGACACCGATGTTCGTTTCGATACCGGTATTCGTCTGGACACCGGTGTTCATCTCCATACCGGTTTTGACTAAGACACCGGATTTTATATCGAAACCGGTGTTTGGTAAAGGGGTTAAAGAAGAAATAATGTTAGTTCAAAATAAACCTGATAATAATGTCACTAAAATCATCATATCACTAAAATAAAGTGGAAGCGTCAGATAAACAACTATAAAGTAAAAAAATTGTTTAATCAAAAACAAATAGAAAACAAAACATAAAGAAACAAAAATTCGTAGCTGTAAAATAAACTAAAAAATATTACATTAAAAAAACTAAAAAAAACGGCACCATCGACATCGACACCGACACCGGTGTTGATCTCGACACCGGTGTTCATCGCGATACAGGTGTCGAGATAAACACCGGTGTTGAGGTAAACACCAGTGTCAAGATAAACACCGGTGTTGTAGATGAACACCGGTGTCGAGATAAACACCGGTGCTGAAATGAACACCGGTGTTGAGATAAGCACCGGTGTCGGTGTTCACACCGGTACACCGACTGAACAAAAAACAATCGTGATCATCAACACCTAACACCGGTGTTCAAATCTCAACACCGAACAGGTCTAACTATAATTGCTAGTAATACTTTTTATATTATTTGAAATATTTAAATAATTATTCGTGACATTTAAAGAAATAGCATGTTCTATTCGGAGTAAAAAAATGTACTTTTTGTGCCTCGCCTAGAATGTCAAACTGCTTGCAGTCTCGCCACAAAAAGTATCATTTTTACTCCTATTAAAACAATATATTATATTTTATATAATGTGCATTTAATGATATAGTAAATGGGTATTGGTTTTGTTTTAGTTCGAAACTCGGCACGGGATTCAAAGAAGACGGCGCCATCGACTTGAAATCATCAACGGAAGAATTAGATTTCCAGGAACCTTACGAATATCGAAAATCCAGGGATAAAACGTGCTCGTCACCGGTGCCCGACGAATCGTACCTCGACCATCGAAAAGATTCCCAATGTTCGGACGTAGTTCTCCTCTCCATATCCGGCAGAACGTCGCGCCTTTCCAGCATCGGAAGCCAGGGCTCGGCGAAGAGTCGCTTGTCCAACGCCAGTCATCTTTCTATAGTCTCAGCACAATCAGCTTATTCTCGGTGTTCCTCACCGCACAAAACACTATTAGAAACATCGTTTTGTGGGTCTAGGACCGACTGTCGAGAAGGTTTCGATAACACATCTATTAAAGGCGATTCGGAAGAATTCGAAAAACTGTTGTTATCCTCGAGGAACTCTAACAGTTCTGACGTAGTTTTATTAGAAAGTCTTAACGTGAGTTCGCCAAAACAACCAAACGCATCGATAGAAATAGCTGGTAGTGTGCAGAAACCAAGCAAATCTGAGAGACAATCGGAAGATAAAGATCCTAACCGGCCTAAATTACCGAGAAAAATTGTGTCAAAAAGTGGTGTGGAATATATTTACATTCCTCTTAAAGGTCCTTTGCCGATAGACGACTCGGAGGAAGAAAGCAAAGTTACGAAACCAAAATCCAGACCCTCTGGCAATACTTTAAGGACCCACCGAACAGAAAAAAGTTCTTCACCAAACACGAAAGCGTCCTCATCTCGTACGAAAACTTCATCACCCAACACAAAAGCTTCTTCATCGCATGCCAAAACTAGCAAATCACGACCAGTGGTAAAAGATTCTACCCCAAAGCCTACAGTCAACGTACATGTTCCACAAATTAAAAAAGAGGAGCCGAAATACATTAGAATTAAACTAAAACCGGACCACTGTTACGACGATGACGGTAAGGCTAAACCAAATTGCGAGAATTATTACAGAAACGAGGATTTCAGATCGATAGAAAACAACGTGATTAAACCAAACACTTTGAATTTACCTTTCCCAAACGAAGATATAGTTCAGCAGCCCGACGACCAACTGACCTGCGTCGTTGTCAAGAAACAAGCAAGAAGTCTAACTAATACACCCAGTGTCAGTCCCAAATTCAACAGACGGAAATTATCGAATAACAAAGATTCAACTCCATCTCCTTCAGTCGCTAGAAGAAATTCGTTTGCTTGTTTGTTTAAGTCGAAAGATTTAGTAGTTAGTCCCGAATCCATAGGTGCCCAAAAACATAAAAGAAAAAACACATTATCCGGTATACTAAAAACACCCACCTCCCGAAGCAAAACCCGATCGAAAAGCAAAGATAGAGACAAGTCTTCGAATGCGCCTTCTTCCACAGAGAGCATTGATAGTAAAGGTAGACACAAATCCGTTCTGTCTATATTCAGGTCGAAAGAAAAACAACCCGCAACTGACAATTGCGTATCTGGTGCTGTTTCTAAGAAAACTTTAGCCGAGAAGAGGGGAGGTAATGTAAATAATATAAATTGCACAGAGAAAAGATCAAGAGAACAGGAAAAACCGCTGAATAGCGATAGTATTAGAATTCCTTTGCATTCCCCTACATACTACGAAGACGAGAATTTCAAGCAGTGGAATACCAACAGCCAGAAAACGGAAGATTCCATTTTGGTAGATAATAGTGATAGGTTAGACAAAGTAGACGTTGTTATTGAGAAAGTCGTAGAAGATAAGTTAAAACCTGAAGAACATAAAAGGATTGGAGATGAAGAAAAAGGTATTAGTTGCCAAACAGTAATAACGAACGTAGAGGTGATTGAAGAAGTTCGACCAAACTGCACGACCACTTTAGCTAAAAACGATATCAGTATACTTCGAAGTACATCAGAGGAATCTCAACACATACCTATATCTAATAGTACAACAATTACAATCAGTACGGTAAGCACAAAAATACAATCGGAAACAGATGGTGTAGATGGTAGTATCGTTCAGCTGGAAGGTGCTGAACGTATTGTCACAAATCCGGTAGTTAAAAAGAACATGGTGATTGATGATGACTTAAACTCTTCGGAATCTGAACGTGATTCTGTCGAAGAGTACGTGAGATGTCCAAAGAACTTGGCTTTACAAGTTGAAACGAGATCGTTTGAAATTGAACGGGAAGCAATCGTACTGCAACAGGATTCGTTTGAGGATGAATTGCCTTATGTTCCGACTACGTTGCCACAAGAACGATCAGCAGCGGTTCCTATCATACCCGTGAAACAACGGTGTGTTTCGAGTATTAAAACGTTTTCTATAGAAAGACCTCGATCTACTACACCAATACAATCGAGTGCTTTAGAAAACTACTGCGATGATTTTGTGGGGAAAGTTAAAACTGAACCGAAGGCGGTAGAGTCGTGTACAGAAAAAATTAAGATTACTCTACCGGAATGTAGTAAAACGAAAACACAGAAGGAGACTATCGATGGGGAAATAAAACCTCCAGTGGAGGAGACGCCTCCACCGTTACCTCCGAAAGGCGTGCAAAAATCGTGGATTAATTTCGAAGAAGTTCCCGAGCGACGGAAGCCACCAAAGCGTATTCAAACGATTCCCTCGAGGGGTCACATTGACGTGCCCGAATTTATGGTTAAGGATAATATTGTATATACTTACGTTAATCCGGAGGAGTGTAAGTGCGAGTGTCACGAGTCGAAGGAGAAGGAGAGGAAAACGACGGAAAAAGCTGGTGAGAAAGTTGGTGAGAAAATTGGTGAGAAAGTGAGTTCGCCTTCCTACGAAGACCAATGTAGTAATAATGCCGCGAAAGGTAAAACTGCAAAAGATTCAAAGCAGGTTAGGTAAATTTCGTTATACGATTTAGGTTGGAATCTTTGATGGTGTTATGATGGAGAATTACATAAATCAACCAAGATGAACTAAAGCACTTTTGATATTCCAGACGTGTTCTAACTATTCTGTTAGCTTTTATTGCGATCTCAAAAACTAGAAGAGACACGAGGTTGGTTAAATAGTAAAGTGGGGCAATTTGATGCTGATCAAAATGCCACCTTTGATGGAAATCAAGATCTTTCGAACAAAAATTACATCGGGGAAGTTAGCAACTCAATGAACGCAGGAATTATAAAATACGATCCTGCTTGGGCTACTACAATCCTTCTTTATCCTGCTTCAAATCCCAACCCAGCCCCACCTACCAATTTTAAACTATAGTTACTTTTATTTTGGTTGCTGACTGGTTTGCACTTGCGCTGCTATACCCCTGTTGCATCCTGCTCTTAATTTTATCCCAGCAACACTTAGTTACAGTCTGATTGGTGACATCACACATAGCAACACAATAAAAGCAGGATGGCTGAAACAAGTTCCTGTTTTGGCTGCTATAATCCTGCCTTATCCTGCTTCAAACCCCATACCAGCCACTCTTGTCGTTTTTAAAATAGAATGAATCGATTCCTGGTAATCAGTCGCACAATTAAGATTAGGAATGTTTTTGTAATTTGATAAGTTTCATCTTAGGCTGCTATTTTTTTGCTTAATTTGCCTAAAATATGTATAAGCTTCCAAGTCATAAATAATTATTCCGAACAGTTGAACAAAATAAGGCAGGTTAAGTGTTCTCAGGAGTAACTTTAGAGTTTTTATTATTATATCCGCAAACCATAACCTCAAATTTTCCAGTTTTCTACTTAGATCTTATAAAGTTTTCTACTATGAATTTGAATTCATAGTTCTCACAAGTGTGATTTGTGTTATTTTGTGTTTTTTGTTGATAGTAAAGTTGATAGTAAAAGTGTTACAGAAAACTATTTTCTTCTTTTTAGAGCATTTAAATAAAAACTTGTTTTTAAAAATGTTTTTAAAAGCTTTTATTTAATTTGCAATGTATGTACAGTACGTTTGTCCGTTCTGTAGCTACGGGGTATCCGTGAGAGGGGAAACGATATTCTCTCGATGTTTTTCGTAAAAAATTAGACGACACGTCCCATCAATAAAAATTCGACAAATTTGCAAGTAGCCAATAAAATGATTGGGCGGATCAATCCTGCTTTTACTGTTTTGCTATGTTTGACGTCACCAATCAGACTTAAACTTGCTGTATCTTAAAAACAGCAAGTGTTGCTGGGATGAAATTTAGAGCAGGATGCAACAGGAGTATAGCAGCGCAAGCAGGAACCAGTTTTGGCGATCCTGCTTCTCATGTGTTGCCGACTGGGAAGTCAGCAACCAAAATAAAAGTAACTATAGCTCAAAATTTATAGGTGTGGCTGGGTTGGGATTTGAAGCAGGATAAATCAGGATTTTAGCAGCCCAAGCAGGATCATATTTTATAATTCCTGCTTTGAATGAGTTGCTAACTTCCCCGATCTAAAAAATCTTAATATTCAAGATTTTATTTTAATTTTGTTATGACTCTATTTGTATTGCTACAGTTAAGAGGATGTTATAAAATTTTACAACCGATGTTTCGTCTTCGCAAAAAGCGCAACGGAGAATTTTTTCCTCAAGTTTAAAGTGTTATATTTTTTTTACTTTTAGCTCTATTTTCATGATTTTTTAGAAAACTGTATGTAAATCTATCAATTTTAATTCATAAACTCAGTTTTGTATAATACTTTAGTATTTTTACTTTAGTATACTTATTATACAGGGTTAATTGGAGGGTTGTGTTTTTACCCTAATTTTAAGACACCTTGTGCAATAATTTCGTTAGTAACTCTTCCTCAAACATTATTTTTCGATCAGAACCATGCCTTCTCAGCTTTTTTTGACTCTTGTCAACACATGCCTTGGTTAATTTTTAAGAGCGAAATGAACTTGTCACCAACAATGTGCAATTTTGTCAACATCATTACTTTATGATGTTATTTTTTAATATCACGAGTTGGAATTGGTGACTATGGTCGTAATGTCATATCGACACTGATTAGAACTCTATATTAAAATTTAAAAAACGTTAAAAATAACGATACAGGCTTGTGTGTGTGGTTTTAATAAATATTAGTAACAGTAACAGAACTAACTTACTGATAACTTGAGATACTGAGTTAAAAGCGATCAGCTCAGTATCAATCAATTCGAAATTGGTCAAAGAATGCATAGAGACGCTGAATAAATTAGTCAAAGAAAACAAAGTCTTCCTACTCTGGGTGCCTGCTCACCAAGGGATAGAAGGCAATGAAAAAGCAAATGATCCATCTAGAAAAGGAGCGAACACTCCACTAACTGGACCAGAACCGTTCTGCTTCTCAAGTGATGAGCCAACTAAAAGCAGAACTCAAGAACTTGGAAGACTCCATCCGCAACCTGGAATGGGAATCTTGCAACGGTCTAAGACACTTGAAGAAGTACCTCAGGGCTCACGACCAAGAAAAAACAAAGATCTTCCTGGATTTAAGTAAGAACAATCTTCGGATTGTGACGGGGTTTTTAACAGGACACTGTCTCCTCAATGAACACCTCAGTAGATTGAAACTAAGAAGAAACGGCGAATGCCGATTCTGTGGAAAAAATGGGGAAACACCAGAACACCTCAACACTGAGTGGGCCGAGACGACAAACATTCGTGCCATGATCTTTGGTGCGACTGATATTGGAGATGGAGAACTACCCTCTGTAAAACTGTCCCAGATACTGGCTTTTGTCAAAGCCCTGGGACTGTATGATGAGTTATAACTCAAGAAAGGGGGACACAATAGATCTGTAAGTTCGCACTGATTAACCCCCTCCCACTCATTCTAAATTCTAAAAATTCTAACAGAACTAAGGATATTAAAAAAAAATAATTGCAATAACTAAGTGTACAAACAAACAAAGATCTTCTAAAAAATACTCCAATACCACAAATTACCTCCAATACTTTGTATTTCCTGTAGACCTCGCGTCGGTTCATACTGTTAATTAAGCTGCAAATATATTGCCGTATGTTTTCCATTCTTCTAAGGACCAAGCGAATATTCGTAATTTGGGCCTTCCTCAACAAGATCAATACTTTTGCACAATATTCGATACTGAGAACCATATTCAATCGTACACAACAATAATCTCCAGATCCACCTCGTCATTATGAAGAATAACATCATAATTGAATATATAATGGATATTTGGATAATTGAAAAAATTGCAAAATGTTTGTGGCAAGTCCATTTTGCTCTTAAAACTTAACCAAGGCATGTGTTGACATGAGTCAAAAAACAAAATATTTATGGTTCATGCTTTCAACCGAAAAATACAGTTTTAGGAAAATTTTCTCGCTTAATTATGTTAACCCTGTATAATAAGTCAAATGCTAAATTTTATAATAAAATGAGTTTACAGTTTGCTAAAAAATTAAAAATATAACATTTTAAACTAGCCCAATTTTTTTTCCGTTGCGTTTTTTTATAGACGGTAGTAATAAAATATAGAGTACTTTAGAGACAATCAGACATATATGCATGTATTAATATAAATAAACCAAAGATAATGTAAATATAGATAATGATCCTAATCTTTGCAGTTGTCAGATTAGTGCTATACAGTTTACTCAGTGCCCAGATGCACCAAATGTGTATAATATGAGACATGCACGTAACCAATATTATACAGTAATATATTGAAGTAGTATAGTCTGTAAAATGAATAACTTTGAATTTTGACCGTTATTTTTTACCAACATGGCAAATATAAAATCCCTCTGTCAAAAATGTTACTGATATTCTTTAAATTGAGTGCCTGAATATATGAACCAGATAGGTAACTCTTTTTACTTTCGTGAAATAGAAAAGGAAAATAATAAAATAAGTGACAGTTCTTCCTTTTCTTGCAAAAATCAACACAAAATGTAATAATTGTCAAAAGTAAATGGCATCAGCTTTTGACATTCTAAATATCAGCTCAATGCCGTCTCTAATAGACAGCCTCGGAGCGAGATTTATGACGTCACGCTAGTTAGATACCACGGATTAATAAATATGTTGTAGAATCCATGGAAAACATAATTATTCCTCGTATTTTTGGTTTGTATTTTAAAAATGATATAGTTTACATGAAATATACATAATATACAGTTAATAAATACAATATATATATATACCTATTTATAGTAATAAATACTTTGGCAAATAAACTATGAACCATACAAATGCAGTAAATGTTTTACAATATACAAATAATGAATAGGTACATAAGATAATGGGTAAAATGTAAAATATATTTTAAATTTTGGGATTTGAAAATCGATCCAATTTAACAAAAAACATTCAATATCTACTAATAGTGATATATTATTATTTGCATTCACAAAATTTATATGTATATTTTGAAAGCATCAATGTTTGAAAAATTTATATTTGCAAATAATACAATATCATAGAAAAAAGGCGTCAGCGATGGCTATAAAATAAAGATCGCTGTCATTTTATATGTAAAATTATTCTAAAATTTTTGATTTTCTTGGGATTTAGGTTGGGATGGAGTACGATTTCAGCCATAGTCAATGTAGATAGTTTTAGTGTTAAGAATAATAATTTTAAAAAATAAACAAAATATTAAAAATAAACAAAAACAATAAATAATAATGAATTAATATTATTAAAAAAGTTATTAACTGTATATTATGTATATTTCATGTAAACTATATTATTTTTAAAATACAAACCAAAAATACGAGGAATAATTATGTTTTCCATATATTCTACAACATATTTATTAATCCGTAGTATCTAACTAGCGTGACGTCATAAATCTCGCTCCGAGACTGTTCTATTAGAGACGGCATTGCGTCAGCATGGTTGTTAACCTAATAAAACTAACACTAGAAACGCGCGCGGGAACTGTCAAATTCAAAGTTATTCGTTTCACAGACTATATAATACTAATACTGATTTTGGTACAGTAATATCAAGCAATATTACTGTAGGTTACTTTTCACTTGCATACCTCATATACTTGTTTGCGTTTGGTGTATCTTGGCGTTGAATAAACCCTGGATTTGACACTACTTTTATTATCAGTGACAATATCAATACACGAATATTTTTGTCATAAGAATATGTAGGACACAATAAAATACGTATCCAAAATGGAAAAGTATTTTGGAGAATTTTGGTTGATTTGTGTAACTTCCTAAACTTATTTATTTATGTATAAAAATGTTAATGCGCGCGAAAGAAATACTACTAATAGTTCTTATTAAATTTTTCTATAAATATACATAGGTACCAATACTAAAATAAAATGATATCGTTCTATGAATTGTAAAGAAACGTACAACTACTAAAGTTTTAATATGACGTATTAAATGCACGGAGGGTCAGGAGTATATCAAAGAAAATTGCTGTGATATCGAAGATGAACACATTGAAAAACTTTTTTTAGTTGACTAAATTGTCTTTTGTCAAAAATGTATTTTTCTTTAATTAAACGATATGTTTAATTTAGTTATTTAAAATTGGAGGATACTATTTCTTACTAAATATGGACGATGGGTAAATACCCAACGGGTAGATAAATAAGATCTGTGCCTACCGGGTGCGTCTCAAAAGTGGCTCACCTATAACTTATTTTTTTCAGATAAAAAAACGAGATTTGGTATGTTAGTATACGACATAAATTAGGATTGATTGACGTGTTCAATTGTTATATCACTTCCTGTTTCACCGGAAATGACTACAACTTTTGTTTTTTAAATGACACAATCGGTATTTTTTTACTTTATTTGATAGAAAATGACACTCTCAATAGAATGACAAATCATAAGTCAACTTTTGACATTTTTGTATATGGTTTATTTGAAATTGTGACATGCGGTTCATAACGACAATTTGATTCGAAATATGCTAATGAGCCATCCTCGTTCCATTTGGAAAAACTGATATATGATTAAAGACACGAAAGACATTGGACTATCAAATCTAATTTTCCAAGCACCTTGATTAAATATTCGTGATTTTAACACAGCCATGGCCCTCTAGATTGAAGTTTAAAGTACGATTTGTTTTCAAGCGAAAATGTCAAAAGTTGACATATGATAATATATCATTCTATTCGGAGTCTGAGTTGACTTTGGAGTTGACTGCAACATTGAAGACCACTGGAATAAGTTTAAAAATATAGTATCAGAAACAACATCTAATATACCTATAGCCCAACAGAAGAAACACAATTGGATGAATGACGATATTCTGCACCTAATGGAGGAAAGAAGATCATTTAAAAATCAAGACCAACAAAAGTACCAACTTATTAATAAAGAAATTCGGAAGAAAATACGAGCGGCAAAAGAGGCATGGTTTGTGAATCAATGTAAGGAGGTTGAAGAGTTACAGAAGAGACATGATACCTTCAACTTACATAAGAGGGTTAAAGAGTTAACGGGTGTGAATACCAACAGAACTCATAACCTTGTTGACAAGGATGGTAATCTCATTGTAAAATGACATTGATAAACTGAGAAGATGGAAAGAGTACATCGAAGAATTGTTTGATGACGAGAGAATAGAAAATGTGATACAACAATGTAATACAGGCCCTATGATAACAATGGGTGAACTAGAGAAGGCTATAAAACAGCAAAAATAGAAAGGCAACGGGTCCGGATGAAATACCATCGGAAATACTCAAATGTCTCGATATTAAAGGAAAACAGTCGCTACTATCGCTTTTTAACAAAATATACGAATCCGGAGTTATACCAACTGACTGGATCAAGACAACATTCGTAATGATCCCCAAAAAGGGAAACTCTAGGAAGTGCTCTGATTACAGAACTATCAGTTTAATGAGCCACGTCCTAAAATTTTCCTTCGAATTATACATTCAAGAGTATATGCCAAAATAGAGGAACAAATTAGCGAGACACAGTTCGGATTCCGCAACAATCTTGGAACTAGAGAAGCACTTTTTTGCATCCAAATCCTTGTTCAAAGATGCAGAGATGTCGATCACCCTGTCTTTATGTGCTTTATTGATTTCGAAAAAGCATTTGACAGGGTAAAACATGATAAATTGGTTGCGATTTTACGGGAAGTGGGCATTGATGATAAGGATCTCCAAATAATTATAAACCTTTATTGGAATCAGCAGGCAAGTGTTAAAATTGGCAAAAATACCTCGGAAACAATAGCAATCCGTAGAGGTGTGCGACAGGGATGCATTATGTCGCCACTACTTTTTAATCTTTACTCTGAATTCATCTTCAGGGAGGCGCTCGAGGAAATCGATGGCGGTGTCAAAGTGAATGGAGTTAATGTCAACAACTTAAAATATGCTGACGATACCGTTTTGTTAGCCAGTAGTCCGGAAGAACTGCAGTTGCTGTTGGATAGAGTTACAAGTACATGCGATGCGTATGGGTTAAAACTTAACACTCAAAAGACTAAGCTTATGACCGTTAGTAAACATCCTATAAATCCGATACCAATAACAGCTTATGGAGTCGACCTTGAGCAAGTTGATAATATCACCTACTTGGGCTCTAACATTAATAACGATTGGGATATGAGCAAGGAAATCAAGCAACGTATAGAGAAAGCTAGATCGGTATTCTATCGGATGAAGAAAGTGTTATGTAGTCGAAATATTAACATAGAACTAAAGTTAAGACTTACAAGATGCTACATATTTTCCACTTTACTTTATGGGGCGGAAAGTTGGACACTCACAGAGACATTGCTAAAGAAACTCCAGGCTTTTGAAATGTGGGTGTATAGGAGATTGTTGCGGATAAGTTGGGTTGACAAGGTTCGTAATGAGAAAGTTTTGAGTCGCTTGTCCAAACAACCCGAAATAAATAAAAACATCAAGATCCGGAAGTTTGAATATTTTGCGCACGTTATTCGACACCCTGAACGATACAAAGTCCTCCATTTGATTATGCAAGGTAAAATAGAGGGTAAGAGAGGACCTGGTCGTAGACGCACATCGTGGCTTCGAAATTTGCGGGATTGGTTCCAAAAATCAAGTGCAGCACTCTTTAGGGCTGCTGCCAACAAAATTATAATAGCCAATATGATAGCCAACGTTCGTTGAGGATATGGCACTCGAAGAAGAAGAAGAAGAAGATTCGGAGTGTCATTTTCTATCAAATAAAGCAGAAATATATCGAGGGTGCCATTTAAAAATCAAAAGTTGTAGTCATTTCTGATGAAACAGGAAGTGACTAAAAACAATTGAATATGTTAATCAATCCTAATTTATGTCATATAGTAATATACCAAAACTCGTTTCTTTATCTGAAAAAATAAAAAAGTTACAGGGGGTGAGCCACTTTTGAGACGCACCCGGTATACTACACTGTTTTTATTTATTTACTCGATGTTATTTTAATGTAAGCTAGAAATTGTTTTTTAAAGGTGTATACGCTTTTAGAGAAATGCAAAATGATTGAGTACATATAAAAATTCAAGCAAATAAACTACTGACTCGCCTCAAAAATTAATTGTTATATACAAGATGTGGAAGAAGCAACGCTTAAAATCAATATATCAACTCATCACTATAATTTTAAGTAATTTATATATCTTTGTCACAGCTTTATTTCAACTAAATTTTTTTTTGTCTCAAGAATCATCGCCACAATGAAAATAAAAAGTCGAAATGTGTATCCTTTTTTTTTATTAATAACTATACTATTAGGTTAAAACTCCAGGGAGACAATATTTTTTTATATCTTGTTTTTTACTCGAACACACATTTCTTCATTTTATTCAAAAAAATTACTTTCAAAGGCTTTTACATTTTATATTTGAATTCAAATGACAGACAACAACAGAATTGTCACTGTCATTGTTCTGTCGTTGGATAGAATATACTTACTTTTTAACATAGAGAGTAGGTTGTGATATTGTTAATAAATTGCGAAAGTCGTTGAGGGGGGGGGAGTCACTTGCACTTTTTTAAGGGATTTATTTTGGACTCACCCTGTATAGTGGTAGTAGGTAAAAGATAAACTAGAGAAAAAATAAAGTTGAATAGTATAGTTGAATAGTAATATATAGTGTCCAACGGTCAGGTATAGTATAGTGTCCAACGGATCAGTGAGAGTGATAGTTGTGTGTGTCACATTTTAATTCACAAGCAAATTGTATTTACTGTCTGTCAAAATCTTTCCTGAGGATTAGAAGTTGCCGATTCCAATTGTCGATTACAAGTTGCCGGTAGGGTATGATAATAAGGGTTTCAAATTTTCGGGATCAGGATCCCGTTTTGAAATCGCGGGATAACAACCTATAATCTCGGAATACCGGGATTGATTTATCAGAATGAGAAATTTAATCTAAAGAAATACCTAATAAAAATGCAGCTATACATATATCAAAAAGAAAATGAAAAAGCTTTATTAAAATAGTCAAAACATTCATAACTAGTAAGAACAAAATACAGTTCTTGTTGTAAAGGAATAAAATATAGCAAACACAGAAATATAATTTTTAGACGTTGCCGTTTTGCTTAGTATAAATAAAATATGATATTTGAAAGACTAAAGTGTAGTAAAAGTCGAATCATTTTCGATTGCGCATTTAAATTTTTGGGATGTGACTTAAATAAGTACTTGAGATTCACAATCCTGAGGTAATAATAGGCGGTTGAAGCGTGCTAGCCACATTATCTTCCTTGTATACCGAACGGCTCTAGCATGGCAAGCTGTATTGTACATTGCTGCTTCCGAGGCTTTGAACGCTATATACTGGAGCTATTATTATTATTTTATTTCGTTTTATCTCAACTACATCCCTTGATTTCTTGTGGTTGGAGGAGTGACTCGTCTCAACCATGATGGTGATAACTTTTCTGGCTTAGAAACGTTCCCGGTTAAGTTACATGTATAGAAATTTGCCTGGCTGTATGGCAGGTGTTAAGGATTACAGATTTTTGCATAAGTTGGTACTGGTATGGTTCTAAGTCTATTGCCCTCAGCGATTCAATTAGTGTTTTTGGTATTACACCCATATTGGATAGTACTAATGGGATGACCCGGACTCGATGGTATTTCCCCATATCTTTAATTTCAAAGCATAAATCAATATATTTGGCTTCTCTCTGTATGTTTGTGTTAGGTTATTGTTGTTTGTCACCGCAAAATCTATGAGCAACACTTCATTTTCTTTTTTCTTCTTCACTACTATGTCTGGTCTATTGTGTTCTAGTCTTTTATCTGTTATTATAGTTCTGTCCCAGTTCATTTCATATTTATTGTTTTCAAGGATTGTAGCAGGTTCGTACTGATAATAGTTAACTTTATGCTCTATGAGTTTATACTTCTAGTTCTAGGTGCTAGTTCTTGGTGTATGATCTTTCCCACTTGGTCGTGTCTAAATTTGTAGTCACTCTGTGCTATAGCTTGGCATCCTCCTATGACGTGATGTATGGTCTCACTTGCTTACACCTTTGGCATAAGTCAGACTCAATTCCGTCCTTTAAGATGTATCTTCGGTTTATTATTATTATTATTTAACACTTTCGGGATTTTGAGGGAATAAACATACTCCGAGATCTCGGGATTTGGAAACCCTAATGGTAATACATAGGAGCAGTTGCACAATATATTTGTTTATATTCTAGTGTCTTTAACGACTGAATGTGGACTGTTTGAACTATTGTAGACAACATTTTTCTATAATAAACATAAAAAAGTTCTCTTATAGATCTGAAATGTGAAGTTCCTTTATCATATCGTTCTTTTTCATGAATGAAAATAAACAACACTATCCTCATTAATTTTAAAACTATATATAATTAGATTAAATATCATATAATCTATAAAATAAATAAATTAAAAATACATAGTCTTCCGTTTATCACATGAAGATGATATTTTTTCTACTCGTAGAATGTTTAAATTTGTTTTTAAGAAATCATATATCTTCTAAAACAAAGTCATAAAGTTTCATGAAAATATCATTCCGATTATTGTAAAAAATTGAGTTGTAGTCATACATTTCAAGTCATACTAAAATAGTTTATATCTATGAGAGGTGTCATGTTTTTGGTAATTGGTAACTAACTCTAGCAATTATTTGAATAGTGGATGTGAGAAATTTTTTTAGAGCTTTATTTTTAAGCAGACGTACAACATATACAGGGAGTTCCAATATTTCGTGAACATAGAAGACCAACGCATTTGTTCAATCAAAAGAAGTTAATTGCACATAATTTACCTTTATACAAAAGTGCTTCGTTTGTCCGTTAGAGGGCATCAATCAAAAATGAAGCAGAAGGTTTTTATGAAGCTTACCTATTGTCAAATATAATTTGTGATACTAACATAAAATTTTATATTTTCGCCAACTAGATTAATGGAGATAATAGATTTTATGCGCCCTCCTAGGTTGATGCGACAAAAAACATTTGTATTAATTATTTGTAAAGTATGCGCTGTGGTATTTTTTTACAAGAGACAAAAAATGTAGTAAATACTAGAAGGACCATTTTAAGCCAA